TTCTGGAGATTTTTCTCTTTCTTTCTGAGATGCCGTGTCACCTTGATTGTTCATGGTGTTTAATAGACTATTTCTCTGCCTGGGCATTAATGGAAGCATATTCTGTTGTTTTTCCAGAAAGAAGATTTTTTTATTTAAAGGTCTCTCTTTAGCCTGCTGCAAAGAAGGCGCGTTTCTTTTGGTTTCCAGTAGGTGGCGTCTAAGCCACTTGGATCCCTGCTTTATATAAAGTCTAATAAGGCTTTTTAAATTTTCTTGTAGATATTTAATCATACTTGCTACTTTCAGTCTCAGTCCCTGTCAGTGTCAGCGACAGTCTCAGCAGTGTTTGCTCAGATTCCCCTGGGGCTCCATGGTGATCGGTCTCACAGGGTATAGGGGGAGGGGCCCTCTGGGTTGGGAGTTGGGGGCTGCAGCTCAGCCTCGGGGCCACTAAAAATCAACTGTTGTTTTTCTGCCGTCCATCTTCTCTGCCTTCTGCCCTGATGACTGGGCACTACTGCCGGCCCGCTGCAGGGAGCTCACAGCTTTGCTAGGCAGGGCTGTTCAGGGAACTCGCTGCTCCTTCTCCCTTCCCCCTCCAACAGAGAGCTCTGGCAGCTCCAAGAGGCAGCTTCTTTGTTTCTCCCAGTCCACCTCCCAACATCCGGGGTTCTGACCTGTAGTAGCTCTTATGCATAGATCTCATGCTCAGACGTGCTGGTGTGCAGATTGGGTGTTTTTTGTTGAGTTTTAGATGTTCGGCTTATTGTTGTTTCAAGGGGAGAGATCTGAGAACATCTCTCACTCCTCCATGTTTCCTCTGTCTTTTATTTTAGATCTTTTCTTATATTAAATTTTTTTCCCGATGAGTAGCTCTTCTAGTTCTTTGAAAATTGATCAATGAATGATAAACCACACCCTTGCTGTCTGAAAATTATTTTTGTATGGCTTAGTATTGAATTTCAAATTCAAAATTATTTCCTTCACACTTTAAAGATATCATTGTTATCTCTTTCCTTTAATTTTGCCCATTAGAAACCTCTTATCAAATTAATTTTTAATTTTTTAGGTAACCTAACTAATCTATTTTTTTATTCTGTTTGGAAGCTTGCTTTTCTGATTTTTTACAATAACTTCTTGCTATACAAAGTACATTCCATTGTGCTTACCCATCATATTCCATTCCCCTCCCTGAACAACAAGGGGCAATCAGGAGAAAACTCCTAACTTGTGGTTTCTCTCTCAGGAAAGAAAGAAAAACATGGAACACATGTCCTACATTCTGGCTTTTCAAGGGGCTGCTCAAAGGACTGATTTCTATTTCAGCTGACTCATATTGCTGACAGAAGAGAGATTGGCACAGTTTAGATGCCTGAGTTATGCTGAAAACAAAAGCAAGCCATATGAGTTGCTATAGCTCCAGAGCTATTGCAGTACTGCAGATAGACACCTGGGGATGCTCCAGAGTAGAAAAAGGCAAAACTCTTCAGCTGGAAATAACACACTCAAGCCCAGAGAAGACACATCCAGAAAGCTTTGAGAAGCCCCCAGAATCTCGAGCTGGCTGATTGGTTAAGGTTTTCTCTAGAGAAAACTGTCTGTAAAGACTAGAGAGGTGGCTGTTTCTTCAAATATGCAAATTTCAGCAAAAAATAACAAGGTATACAAAGAAACAAAGAATCATGGCTCAATCAAAGGAACAAATAAAACTCCAGAAACCAACCCTAAACAAATGAAAATGTATGAATTACCAAACAATTCAAAGTAACTATCATAAAAATGCTCAATGAGCTAAAAGAGAACACAGATATCTAAAAGAAATCAGGAAAATGATTTATGAACAAAATGAGAATACCAACAAAGATATAGAATCTACAAAAAAAAAAATGAATTCTTGAGCTGTAGTATACAATAACAAAATTGAAAAAAAAATGACTAGAGGGGATCAATAACAGGCTGTATCAATCAGAAAAAAAGAATCAGTTAATTTTAATGCAGATTATTTGAAATTGAGTCAGAGGAGGAAAAAGAAAAACAAAAGAAAGTGAAGAGATCCTAAGGGACTTATGGGATACTCTTGAATGGACCAAACTACACATTATGGGAGTTCTAGGAGTAGAAGAGAGATAAATGCTCATAAAGCCTATTTGAAGAAATAATGCCCCAAAACTTACCAATTTAAGAAAGGAAATGGACATACAAATTCAAGACATTTAAGAACTCCCACTAGAATAAACCAAAGACACCTACGCTGAATCATACTGTACTCAAGCTGTCAAGAATCACAGAATCTTGAAAGCATCAAGATAAAAAGAAGAGCTTCCATAAGATAACAATTGGATTTCTCAGCAGAAACCTTGCAGACCAGAATAGACTGGGATAATATATTCAAAAGGAAGAACCAAGAATACTATGTCTTGCAAAGCACATATATATAAGCTTCATGACAATGAATTTAGCAGTGATTTCTTGGATATGGCACTGAAAACACAGGCAACAAAAGGAAAAATAGATAGATGGGACTGCATAAAACTTGAAAACTTCTGCACAGCAAAGAAAACACAGTCGAAAGGTAACACAGAATGGAAGAAAATAATTGCAAAACATATATCTGAAAGGAGATCAATATTCAGAACATATAAAGAATTCCTACAACTCAACAATAAAAAAAAAAAAAAAGACTAAATAATGGAAAAGAACTTGAATAGACATTTCCCCAAAGAAGATATACAAATGGCCAACAAGCTTAAGAAAGTGCTCAACATCTGTTATCATTAGAGAAATGCAAATTAAAACCACTATGGATATCACTTCACACCCATTAGGATGGTCACTATCAAAAAATAATAATAATAATAATAAACATAGCTGACACATGTGAAGAAATTGGAACCTTTGTGCACTACTGTTGAGAATAAAATGTGGAAAACAGTTTGGAGGTTCCTCAAAAAAACAAAAATAGAACTACCATAAAATCAGTAATACCACTTCTGGGTATATATCCAAAAGAATTGAAAGCAGAATTTCAAAGAAATATTTGCATACTCATGTTTATTACAGTATTATTCTCAATAGCCAAAAGATGGAAGCAGCCCAAATATCAAAAGTCCATTGACAGATGAATGGATAAAGAAAATGTGATGTGTATACATATATTTTATTCAGCTGTACAAAAGAAGGAAATCCTGTCACATTCTATAATATGGATGAAACTTGATGGCATTATGCTGAGTGAAATAAGCCAGGACAAATACTGTATGATTCCAATTATATATCTAGAGTAGTCAAAATCGTGGTAACAGAAAGTAGAATGGTAGTTGCCGGAGGCTGGGTGAGAGTAATTTTACCATCATTTAACGACATCACTCAAAAGCAGAATTTTTACACTTGAAGTTGTTGTAAGGGTTAATATATTTGTTGTAAATTTTAATATAAAACACTATTTGGTTAAAGGGATGCTTTAAAACTGGTTTTCAAAGTCTTTCTCTCAGTTTTGTACTAGGTGCTGTCTCTCCTGCTGTTGTTGTCCCTTCCATGCTACTTTTGCAGGACAAGGGGTATGGTATTGAGAAAGGCATTCCAACCTTACTAATAGCTGCTAGCAGTTTTGATGACATCCTGGCTATCACTGGATTCAATACATGTTTGGGCGTAGTCTTCTCCTCAGGTAAACAAGAAAATACAATCACTGCCATAGCATTCATAGCTTTGTTGTTGTTATTTCTTTAAGTAAGGTTTCTGGCTTTCTTCATTTATTAACCAAGACTTTATATATTTAACATCTTTTTATTCCTCATAGAAAGAGCATTCTAGATCAGGGAGGAAATTTCAATGTGTTAAGAAATCACTACTTACCACAAATGATTTCATTTTAATAACCATATATTTCAATTAATTTGATAACCCACATTATTACCATTTATCTGCTCATGTTGCTTTGGAATTTTATCACAGTTTTCAATAGAAAATTTTAAGCAGCAATATTAGTACTACTAATATATTTAATAGATATTTTCGAAATGTACCTTTTGGTACATCATTATAAATAACTGGTTGCTATATTATTAAGACAAATATATGAAGCGTGGACAACTGTGTGACTTTTTGGTAGTGGTGGGACAAGTTCTTGCACCAATTCTGAATCTCAAGGTGATATTTGGTCTTGAACATCACTCTAAAGAAATTGTGAAAGTAAATATTTCCACATTGAGTAATGCTTTATTTATCTGCAGCATTTGATATTCAATCTTCTGTATCTTTGAGGCACCAAAATATTTTTAAGTTGAAAAGTAATATATATATATTTCTCTTAAAATCATAAGATACAAATAAAAAAGAAGAAAAATGGGGAAAGATAAAAATAAAATCTGCAATAGTCATAATAATTCTGAATCTTTTATGTAAATCCACATAGACTTTGGCTAGCTCTAGCTCCTGCCCTAGCTCTCTTTCTCCTTCTCTCCCTCTTCCTCTCTTTTTCTCTCTGCTCTCAATAGTCTTAAAATTACTGAACACTGACCATACTTTCTTATAACCTGAAGTTTTTTGCACTTAATTGTATATCGTAAACATGTTTCTCTTCAGTAAATATATTTCTATGACATTTTTAATGGTTGCATATTATTCAATTGGCTACATCATAATTATTTAACTTGTTGAAAATGGAAGTTGACTCCAATATTTACTATTAAAATAATACTTGATTGAACATCTTATAGCTAAATAATTGTACCTAAACTTAATATTTTCTTAACCTTAAAAGTGTAATCGTTGAGCTAAAAAGTATATAGAGTTATAAGCTTTTTGAAACATAGTGCTACAATATCATGTCCTACCATGCTGCACTTTCTCTTTGCCCTTTTCAAAACTAGGTATTACTCATCTTGTTTTTTGCTAATTTGATGGATGGATAAAATGTGAGGCCTCTTTAAATGAAATACTTTGACTATTAGTGATGTTAATCAAATGTTTATGTTTGTTAGCTGTTGGTATTTTGGTATGTTTTATAAATTGGCTTTTCTTGAAATCTTTTGCCTACATCTTATAGGTGTGTTCATTTTTTCTTTTTGATTTGTCAAGATTCTTCATAAAATTGAGAATGATAACCCTTTATTTATATTCTTTAGTTTTCCCCACTTTTAATTTGACTTTTGACTGGTATCAGTCATTGTTTCAGAAAACATTTTTGTGCTCCTCTTCCATTGTACTGTGACAAACACTGAGAATAAACAGTGAACAACAATATTAGCTTTTATTGAGTAATTGCTTGGTACTTGCTCTGAGTGCCAGAGATGTTTCCACTCATTTAGTAGTCACAATAGTGCTGTGCTCATTTTACAGATAAGGAAACTGAAGAACAGAGATTAAGTTACTTGCTCAGAGTCACAGATTCAATAAATAGGGGAATCAAGATACAAACCTGGCAGTCTGACCTTAGACTCATACTTTTAAGTACCATTCTATACTATCTTCCAACACAGCAGATGGAAAAGACCATGTAGCTCATGTTCTCAAGGAATTTATATTAAACAAATGTGATGAATATTACATGGTATAGGATGCTATGGAAACATGGTACAAGAAGCCAAACCTAATTTGAGGAAGACAGAAAAAGTGGAAAACCAAGCAGGCACAGTCTTAGAAAAATTCTCTTTGATCACATGACTATGTAAACTGTCACTTAAAATTTTAAGGACTTTCTTAAGGTTTATTTTATACATTGGATCTTTAATATACATATATTTTGGAATATGATAGATATCGAGATCTTATCTTCCAAGTCAATTGGCCCTTTTATCATTATAAAATGTACTTCTGTATCTCTTTTGACAGATTTTGTCTTAAGTATGACCACCCCTTGCTCTCTTTTAGTTACCATTTTCGTGGAATATCTTTTTCCATCCTTTTAGTAATAACAATCTATTTCAAAGTGATAACTACTTCAATTGCATATAAAAACTCTACTCCTTTACATCTCACCCTCCCCACTTTATGTTAATGTCTCAATTTTCATCTATTAACATAGTTTATAGTTATTTTTATGCTTTTATCTACAACAAAATGAAAAGTGACTTACTCACTACCATTACAGTATTATAGGATTCTTAATTCATCTATATATTTACCTTTACCGAAGGTTTATATTGTATGTTTTTGTGTTGCTGTCTAGTGTCCTTTTATTTCCACTTGAACAATTCTCTTTAACATTTCTTTTGTAAGGCAGGTCTAGTGGTAATGAACTCCCTTGCCTTTTGTTTATCTGAGGAAGTCTTAATTTATCTTTCATTTTGAAGGCAATTTTATGAAATGGTATTCTTGGTTGGCAGTTTTTTCTTTCAACACTTTGAATATATCATCTCACCCTTTTCTGACCTGTATAGGTTTCTACTGTGAAATCCTAATAATCTTATGGGATCTCCCTTATACATGATGAGTTGCTTTTCTCTTGCTGCAACTTCTTAATTGGTTTGTAGAGTTTCATAAAGGCTTTTGGACTGTATATTATTGTTAAGTTGGATTGAGATTCAGGTACTTTCTATTCCACCATCTTGATATTGTCCCTCTCTATTTCTATTATTTTTCATGGAAAAATATTTCTAAATATACACACACACACCCTTTATTGAGCTAAACACATAAAGCATAACTAAACTTTTTCGTGACTCAGAATAATTTTTTATAATAAATTACCAATATGGATACGTAAAATACATTGGAAGCTCAATTGACCCTTGAGTAGACCTAGGATTGACCCTGGAATAAATGTTTTCTTTATATTTTTGTTGTTAAATTATTCTTTTCTATGTTTAAATTGTTCGTTTCTTTGTCATAATAGTACATCAGAGAAGAAACATTACCAGCAAGGTAATGTGCTAGGTGCCAGAGGTACTCCTTTGTCAATCTCTGTTCATTCTTCTATCTCACCTGGTCTTTTAGGTTGGGTGTATAAGGGGAATACATTGTAACTTATTACTTCTTCATTTTCTGGCCTATTTATTCAATAAGTTGAATGCATATATTAAATTAAGAATACCTACTTAGTTTATCAAATAGATCTGCATGTTTTCACATTTGTTAATATTAAAGGTCCATTTTTGTCTATTTGTTCTATCAAATACATACTTTTCTTCATGAATCACCTAAGCTTGTTTTCTGATGTGCTGGATATTTAAAAATATTTCTCTCTGAACTTTTTTCCTCATTGTGTACCCTTACAGGAAGTATGCTTCATAATGTCCTAACCTCTCTTCGGGATGTATTTATTGGTGTGCTGGTAGGAATTCTTTTGGGAATTTTTGTTCGATATTTTCCAAGTAAAGATCAGGTAAATAAAAAATTAATCAACTTTTAGAAGTATAGTATTAGATATTTCTTTGAAATTTTTGAACTTTTAGAAGATCCATGAAATAATAAATTTACTACTTAATTCTCTTTCCCCCAAAGTAGCCTCTATGTCTATTCTCTGCTTAAAACTAGCACAGTTGTGATTGATACAGGTCAATGGCCTTATGTGAAGTCTCTGCTTCTTGATTTGGCAAATAAGGAATATCAGAGAAATGTACTTAATTCAGAGTATCCTCTCCATTTCAACCCAACCCTTTCTTCACTAAGTCGTCTATTGACTTCTGACTGTTTTCCCTAATCTTCTTTACCTCACACTTTTTCTCGAACATTTTGAGGGAGATAGATTCCCATCTATCACTGTATGTTTTCTGAGTTAAATTCACTCCCACTTCCTTTGACTAAGGCAACACTATTGAACTCGACCCTTTCCTGCCCTAAAGGATATGCTATTAATCTTGTATTTTTGTAACTTCCATCTTGATTTGCCTGTAACGATTGTTTTAGCTAAAGAAATATTTAGAAATTTATTTTTAAGAATTCATTGGGTATGTTATACAGAACTACAAGTTATATGGATCTCTTTTCTTTCTTTCACTTTTAGTTAAAATATTATAACCATTTTACTGACATTAGTATCAGAGATGTGGAAGAAGATAAAACTTAATAATTACAAATTTTGTCACTTGGTACCAGTCTGCTAAAATATTTGGTGAGGAAGAAAGTCAAAATTTTAGACATTATTTAATATAACATATAGACACATGGTATCAAAGGTCAATAATTAATCATAACTAATGTACATGTTGTATTATATATTTGATGTAAATTAATTTCTAAATACTTATCTAATTCTAGAGAAATCTTCCATTGAAGAGAGCATTACTTGTTTTGAGTTTGTGTGTTTCTGCTGTCTTAGGCAGCCAGCGTATTGGTATGCACGGAGCTGGAGGGTTATGCACACTAATGACGTCTTTCATTGGAGGAAAGAAGTGGTCCAAAGATAAGGTGAATATTTTTAATACACCATGTTTTAAAGATAAAATAGCTGCTTTTTTTTTTTTACATCTATAATGGACATTTAGGAAACATCCTCATTCTAGTTGGAAGATGTTCCAGAATTTTGTGTCTTCGAGGAAGTATACAAATCAATAAAGGAATAAAGTATTTAGTAAAAGGACCTGGACACATACTGAAATGCAAACAGGACTTGAGTTATCAAATCAGGCCTCTTTCCCCCCACAAAAAAATTTTCTGTAATATGATTATATAACTTTTATTGATTTAATTATTTTTTCATTAAATTTTTGGTTATACAGTTAATACATTAAAACATGCTCATAAAAGATTAAAACAATACAATAAGTCCACATATAGAATAAAATGTAAAAGACTCCTTTTCCCCACCACTCCCAAATATCAAACCCCTCTTCCCAGAATTAATCATTTTCTCAAATCAGTACTCTATTTGTAGACATTTAGATCATTTTCATTTTTGTTATTACAAACAGTGCTGCCATGAACAGTCTTGTTCATGTGTCTTTTTGTAAATGCATAAGTAGGACTAGATTCCCAGAACTGGAATTGCTGAATTTAGAAATGGTACGTATCTATTTGGTGAGTACTGCCAAATTATTCTTTTTAAAAGATTTTATTTACACTATTTACTAACAACAGTGTAGAACAGTCCCTAATATCTCAAACCATCAACAATCCTGGATATTATCACTAGGTCTTTTTTTTATAATATCATGAGTAAGAAACTATATAACATTATCAATGGAATATTACTCAGCCATAAAAAAAAGAATAAAATCTTGCCGTTGTGACAAAATGAATGAACGTAGAAGGTACTATGCTAACTTAAATAAATGAGACAGAGAAAGGCAGATATTGTATGATTTCATTTATATGTGTAATCTAAAAAAAACAAACAAACAAAATAAAATAAGAATAGACTCATAGATATAGAGAACAAACTGATGGTTGTCAGAGGGGAATGGGATGGGGGGATGGCTGAAAAAAGTGTAGGGGAATAAGAAGTACAAACTTCCAATTATAAAATAAGTCACAGTGTTGTAATATACAGCACAGGAGATATAGTCAATTGTATTATAGTGATTTTTTTCATGATATCTTTTGCATGGAAGTAAAATTTCCTGTAGTCAAACCTGTCAGTTTTTCCTTTTTGGTTTTGATTCAGTATCTTGTTTCAGAAGGATTTCTTCACTCAAGATTATAAGATTATAAACATTATAATATCCTGTGTATTATCGTCTAATACTTTGGTGTTTTTTCTTTGCTTTGCTTTTATGTTTAGTTCTATAATCCATCTGGAATTTATTTTTATGAATGCTCGGAGATAGAGATGTATATGTATGTGTGTTTATATATATATGTATTCAGACATACATATATACATACATATAATAGATATATATGTGGATATAAATTAGATAATTAACCTTTGCCAAATTATTTATTGACTAACCCATTAATTATTCAGTGATCTTTAAATGCTGCTTTTAACATGGTCTAAACTCACATATATCTAAGTTCATTTCTGGAATCTATTTAATCCTACTTATGTATTCCTATGCCAATACCACTGTATTTTAAATCTATTCTAAATCAAAAGTCATAGTTTTAAGTCTCAAAACTAACATAGAATATTTCATCTCATTGTACTTATTTTAAAAGTATTTATTGGCTGTTCCTGCCCATATTCTTTCTTAGATAAATTTTAGAATCAGCTTGAGAAGTTGTGTACCCAAAAATCATACTGGCATTTTTGTTTAATATTCCAATAAAATCATAATTATGAAAGACAGTAAAGGGTTAATAATAAATTACAATTAGATAAATAAAATGAAAACTACTAGAATTCTTTTTATATGATAAAGGAAATCAAACAGTAAAAACTAGACTTTAAAGATTAAAAGTAACAAAGAGGATAATGTGCTATAAACAAAGAAGAATAACATTGTTTTTTCTTTGTTTTTTCCTTTTTTAAACTTTACTCTTATAAATGGCAATCAGAAAACCCAGACATAAGGGGAATAGTATTAAAATAGTTTATGCCCCAAATAAAAGATATCAAAGTTTTATAAAAATGATAAGCCCAAACTGAGGCTAAAATTACTTCACCCAAGTTCCTGGGAAAGAATCAGTGCACTGCTATGTCCACAGTGGTCTTTTGCTGTAAGCACATCACTGGGGAAGTAGTCAAGAGAGAGATTTCTTCCCAGAAAGAGAAGCCTATTGGCAACCAAACAAGAATCTGTTATATGTTTTTGATTTACTTTTAAGGAAAAAATGACTTAGAAGTTTTCAACATGAATGAGTACTTTCAAAACAGTCCTAACAAGATTACCAGAAATTTTTTTCCTATTAATATAGGATATATCAGCATTTCCTTTCATGGGATTGGGTTCCACAATAATTATTAGTAGAGACTGTCTTCCCATCACCCTTCTGAGAGCCAAAATGTTTGCGTGATCTTGAGTTTGTTCTCATCCGGCATGATGTACCTCTGTCTCTGTTCCATTTCCTTACAAACAAAGGCTACACCTCTAGCTGAACCATCAGAACATGTCTGCATCTCTCCAAAGACCTTACTTGTTCCACGACGAAATGACCAAGTATTTTTACTTTATAGCTTTGTAGATTTAATCAAATTCTACCTAAGTGTTAGAATGAACTAATTCAATTAATTTTTATTGTTTTAACATTTCTCTTACTAATAAAACATCTTACACTTATCTATTAAGAGAGATTTTAAATTTCTGAAATGCAATTATTTTTATGTGCCGCAGTAACTAAAAATGTATTACTCCCTTCTACAGATTAAAGTCCAAAAAATTATTACAACTGCATGGAATATTTTTCAACCTCTTCTTTTTGGTTTGGTTGGATTAGAAGTATCTGTTGCAGCTCTTAAATCAAATGCTATTGGTAAGAATGAATAGAGGCTATATACATATACATACATACATGATTTGAAAATATTTAAGAAAACTATGAATAATTTTATTTTTATTTACAATATGTCTTTGAATGCTACAAGGACCTCCTTCAGAAACTCATGTAAACACAGTAACATACATTAGTTCTTCCTTACCCTGTGTGCTCTTTGTTACCAAAGGCAGTCTTATATCCTCCCTGAGTGGCCTGAGGAAATGGAGATTAGAATTCTTTTCTGAGGGGAAATATTAGATACCATCAGCACCTTTTGAATACTTTCATTTATAGTAAAAGTTCAGAGTTTATTAGCTCAGAATTAAATTAATGTAATCTAGCTTATTTTTCATGGTACCCCTACCATCAGATAACTCTTGCTCTTTACAAAGAGGCCTCAACCATATTTCTATTTTTATGATTATCATTTTTGCTTAAAAAAATAAAGACAGAAAGAGTCAATAGCCTTAAAAATGTTTTCAACACTTTTACAAATCATATCTCTAGGCATAAAGAACCACTTCTTCCCAAATATTTTGTTTGTTTTTATCTGTTGTAGGCATTTTTGTTGCTGCCTTGAGTTTGGCATTATTGATTCGAATTTCTTTTACATTTTTATTGATGTGTTTTTCCGGTTTTAGTTTTAAGGAGAAACTATTTATTGCTCTAGCATGGATGCCCAAAGCTACAGTCCAGGTAAGAACATATTAAGTCATACTAATAATTTTAATATTGATTTTTTAAATTTCTAAATGAAAAATGTTCAATCACAAAACATGGACTATTAGCCTTACTTTTAAAATGCTTGATCATAACTACTCATTAAAATTAATGTAATCTTTTTTAAAAATCTTAAAATTTGTCTTAAAAGTAATTTTTCTGAAATTAAAAAGTGTACTTTTAATGACGAATACTTCTTAAACTTAAGAAAACATTTTTTCCATTGTCCTAAATATAAAATAAGAGTATATCTGAAAATTGGAATTTGGGCATTTTGCTAAATGTTATATTTTAAAGTAGAGAAACATTGATTCTTTTTAAAATATCTCTTTTCTACCTGTGCCACCCACTCCACCACACATGAATGCACATATTTTTAATTATACATTTAATTTGTATGACTATTTGATTAATGACTGAATCTCCCCCACTAGGTCACATAGGAAGGATAGGAACCATGTCTGTTTTGGTTTTCTTTTTTTCATCATTTTTTCCCTGGCACTTAACACAGTGACTGGCAAGCAGGACGTACACAATAAATAAGCATTGCATGCCTACAAGAATGAATGATGAATGAATAAATAAATGAATGAATGGGAGACCTTGTAGTTTTGGCCCCCAATTCAATGATATTCTTATCCAACTAAAAAAGGTATTGCTACATACTGTTCGACTATTTAACCTGGCAGTGTAATGTCTTGATTCCCTGAGATTCTTTTCTCTTTTGTTATTCCCAAACAAAAGCTTGTGAACTTCCATACAACGGAATTCTCTATATGTCATGGTTAGAAAGCAGGTATATGGGGGTAGACTGCCTGTTTTGAATACCCTGTTACTTGCCTATAACCTTAGGCAAGTGACTTGATCATCTCTCAGTGTCCAGTTTGTAGATCCCAAACCTCTTGTCAGTTTTACTATATCACACTGCCTCCCAAGTAGGATGAACAAAGAGAAGATGATCAACAAAGTCCTAGTGAACCATAAGAAACCTTAGTATTTTGTGTTGTGTTGTCTGTTGCAGCCAAGAACCTAGTGGTACGTGGTAAAGGCAAATAAGCAAAACCTTGGTTCAGTTAGAACTCGAGATTCTGAGAGTAATGTGAACACTCAAAAAACATATATACTGAAACAGGGGAAAGCTGAAATGCAGAATACAAAATCAGCCCCAAAATGTCTACACACCGATTTGTCATTATTTCACTCTTCCTACAGATATATTTGCTAGAAAGAACATAGCATTGATGAGTAACTCATGAAAATTCCTCAGCACTTTTAAGTCTTGCCTGTTTTCTAGTTGTCTAGTACTGTTTGCTTGTTTGTTCGTTTGTTTGTTTGTTTGTTTAACAGAGCCATTTACTTTTATTATATTTTAACTCTTTAACATTTTTCATTATGCCTCATCTTCCCCCACCACCCCACCCAAATGCAGGCTGTATTAGGTCCTCTGGCTCTAGAAACAGCAAGACTCACAGCACCCCACTTGGAACCATATTCGAAGGATGTGATGACCCTAGCATTTTTAGCCATCTTGATCACAGCTCCAAATGGAGCTCTAATTATTGGCATACTGGGGCCCAAAGTACTTACACGCCATGATCCAAGCAAAATAAAATTGGAATTGACAGGAATAAACTTGCATTAAAAAGTTCATTTGCCATCACCTGCCTGCTTCTTTTAATGAATTATCTTCCATGAAAGAAAAGTTAAAAGGTACAAATATGTGAAGACTGCATAGAACTAAGGATTTAATAAATATGTGATTTGACTACAGAGCTTTCCTATGATTTTTTATTACAGAGTTAATTTAATGAAAACAATATAATGTCCTACCTAGTACTTACATATTTCAAGAACAAAGTAAATCTGTAAATACCTAAAGAAAGTTAAAGTAATCCATCAGGCTAAAATTGCTGCCCTAGCAAACTAAGCACCTCTCACAGTTGCTCTCTGCTCAAATAACCCTTTGAACTTCAGTGGCCTCACTGACTGCATCGTCATCATTTCCTGTCCTCCCACCAACAGGTCTCTAACAGCTCTACTGTATATCATCAGCTCATCTCAAATTTTCTTTTTCTTTCACTGACAACATATTACCTAACATTCTGTTGGCAACAATTAATATAAATTCCAATCAAGTAGTCATTGGTTGTGCACTGCCCTCAAGGAGGGAGTGTCATTTGGGGTACACAGTTCCTTTTGTCTAAAGGCAATTCCTATAGAGGGACTTCGTTGGAAGCCCTCAACACACAACACTCGAAGCTGGCAGGGCAATGAGTGCCTCAGTTGTGAAAGAGGGTTCTGGGCAACACAGCACAGAATGCACTACTGTTCACCCCTGGTGCCATTTGGATCTGTTGCTTCATATAATTTCACTGCATCTAGGAAAAGCTCCTCCAGGATTCTAGGTGGTTTCTCATGCTGGGGAAATTTATGAAAGAACACTAATAGAATGAGTTACAGTGTGCTGACTGTAAAATTACTGCCTGGCTATGGCCCATGGGAACATAGGCCATCACCCATGGGAACATAATGCTCTAACAATAAGCTTTCTGCTTCTGTACCGCTCCCCCCCGCCCCCCCTCCCCCGCTTGCACAACTGACCTGTGGGTTAACAGTTAGTAAAAAGAAGAAAAATAGACGTGTGTTCAAAGAGGATGAAGAATGGGGTTTAGGGCTTAAAAACCCTGTACCTCTACATTTCAGGGCTGCTTAATTTGGGGTCTGCGTACCCCTGGCAGACCCAGCTGGCTGAATAAAGCCTATAACTCACTGATTTCTGGTGGTCCGTGTGTCTATTGGGGGCTGGCGGCTACAACAACAACCCTTTAGCTCTGCAGCTGTCGTCCACCCTCAAATGATCATCTCTCTCCTCTACTGTCCACGTGCTGTCTGTTCTACATTCCTCTCACCCTCAGCTAGCCCCTCTGCTGGTCTCGGTCACTTACCTGGTGGAGTGACCCAGATCATCATCCCTGAGATGTCTTGAGCCATTCTTCCTCCACTGAATGTAAGCTGCCATGCTCAATCGTGACTACTACACTTGCCTACTTAAATAGAGCCATCAAAATTGAACAAGAGATTACCTTGAGATCTCCCAGCTGCCATGCTCAATCGTGACTACTACACTTGCCTACTTAAATAGAGCCATCAAAATTAAACAAGAGATTACCTTGAGATCTCCCAGTAGATCACTTGGGTGCCAGACACATTCTTCTCTGCTTCCATTTTGTAACAGCGTGGAATTGCAGCCACTGATTTTTTATCTCTATAAGTTTGCTGTCTAAATGAAATTTTTACTATCATTTAATTTGGTTTTATTTCTTTGGGGGATATATTATTAGGTATCTATAATTTTAGAATTGGTGTATCTCCTTGGTGAATTTTTACTTTTGTTATTTTTATGTCATCTAAGAGGTTTAAGTTTGAGCATTTTGTGACTAATCAAGGAAAAAGATATGGCCATGAGGTGGCACTAGCTCACAAGCTCTATTTGGATGATACTTTGACGAGTTTATATGTTGGAGAAGGCATAACAACATGAGACCATCCAGCGGCCTAAGGCATGGGGGCCATCATCCCGAGGGGGAGGAGGGCAAGGGAACTCTCGGAGGAGACAAGGGGTTTTTGTGTCTAGGAGGCTTATGTATGATGTCACACAGCAGCTTGGCAGGGAGTCTTTGGGTCAGACAATTCCAAAGGGTAGCAGCAGCTTAGAATCTTTATAGCCCAAGCCTTGTTTTATCTGTGGCAAACAGATTTTGGACAGTTTCACTGAGTACGGAAAGCAAGCAAGCTTTATATGGCTAAGAGTCTGCTTGTTCGGGCTATATTTAAAACAACTGGATGTGTAACATTTTGGTTTGGTGCCAGTGGTATTTTGAGCTAATGCATCTAAGCCTCCTGTGAAGAAATAAGCAACTCCGGGGGCTAATATACAGAGGCTATCTTTGCCTCATACACATAACATGTAGTGACTATCCCTTTTTTTGCTTACCATTGTTTATTGTTATACTCATTTTTTAAAATTTGTTTTTATTGGTATTTTGGCAAAGTTTTCCTTTATTGTAGTCTGCTACTTATTTGTTATTCAAACTGTTCTAATAGAGATTTTACTTCATTCTTTACTCCCACTGAATTAAAACTGCTCTTAATAAGGTCATCAATGACCTTCATGTTATTAAATCCAATTAACGTTATAAACTTTCTTATTGTGTCAACATGTTTAATTATCTAATTTCCAAATGAGAGATCATACATGGAATTTAGTATTTTGATTTCCTTTTGGTTTGCTTACTCTCATTTCTTTCTTGTCTCCTCTCTTCCATCCAAATTCCCATCTTTATTCTACCTACCCTCTATAGACATATGATATCATCTTCATTAGAATATATCACTCCTATTTTTCTCCATGCTCATAAAACTATATGCAAACATATGTACATACACACATAGTATGTACACACACACAACCCGAAATAAGAGTGTGTATATGTGTGTGTGTATATATATATATATACACACACACATACACACAGAGATGGTATTTAACATGCCATGGTGCATCTTGCTTTTATCAGTACTGCATAGAAATACTGAGTCAATATGGCTCTAATTTGTATTTTCCACTAAGATCAATGTTGTCATTTAAAAAGTGCATATATTCATGTGCAGAGCCAGAGGGATGGTAGAGTACTCGGAGGAGGGGATAGTTTCATAAAATGCATAAATGACTAATCAATATACTGTATGCTTGAAACTGATAATAAAATAAAATGCTTAAAAATATCTATAGGTAAAAAAATACATGTATTCATACCTACTGACTTTATTTCTATAAGATTTCTGTGACAATATGTTTTTTTGCAAATGTTACCAAATTATTTCCCAAACAATTTATAACAATCCATATTTCTCACCACTGTGGAGGAAAACAGGGCTCTGTAATACGCCTAAGAGAAAGTAAGCTCACAGAGTGACCTGATCTCAAATTTCTAACTGTTCAGGCCTTGATGGATAGTCACACCCCAGGCCTATAAAGGGTTTATCTCCACCCTGTCCATTGTTTTTGTGCATCTAGGGTAACATACCTTTGAAATGCCTCTTTATCAAACCCCTTGGAAGCATAACCATTACCTTTAAGATAGTACATAATCTTGTTAACTATTCTGTAATCCAATCTCCACCTTTCTTTCTCCCACATTCAGATAATCTTTATTACATTCCCTCCTTAATTTCAAAAGTGTAAAAGAAACTGCTAAATTGTCATTCTCCAGAGCATTTAAGATCTTGCTTCCCGGCATTTTCATCAGTTTGGCTCAAATAAACACTTACGAAAAAAAATTCTCTACAGGTTTCTTATGTCAACACTGTCCATTCTTACGTGTATGTACAATATGTATTATCATTATATATTACATAATACACATTAGTATGTTATAGATGTTAACTCTTCGTCTGAAACCCACACTGCAATTTCCCCCCTATTTATTACATATTATTGATATTTGACTTCATTTATCTCTTTTGTTACATATTAATTTTTGCCACATAAGTTTTCCCTGACTTTAGTCTCCTATTTTCTCTTCTCCTATACCATCCCCCCTCACTCTCTAAAATGATTTTTAAAATGATTTTTAAATAATTTTTAAAATTTAAAAAATTTTAAATTATTTTAAAATAAAAATTTTTTAAATTTTAAAAATAACTTTGTGTCATATCAAATCCTTTAGTGCAAACTGGAAATCCAATTTTACTTTCTCTTCAAATTAAACACACTTGTCATATATTAAAGTTTCATTTATATCTAGAGTCTCAATTCTTTTTCTATCAATCTTGCTTATTCTTATTTAATGCAATTTTTTCTCATGTTAATTGACGTGATTCCAATGGCTTTATAGTATGTGCTAATATCTGGTAAAGTTCTCAATAGTCTTTTTTGTAAAATTTTCTGACTAGTCTTCTATATCAATCTTAAGGTAATTTAATACAATTTTAAAATGCTCTTGATTCTAATGCGAATCTTATTAAATTTATATATTAGTTTTGATATTTATATTTTTACAATAGTATTTTTTCATGTGTTTAAATCCTGTTCAATTGCTTTTGGCAACATTTGTAGTTTTTTTTTCTTATGGGTCTTGTACCTCTCTTAGTAAATTTATTTTACTATTATTTATTATATTTATCTTTTGCTATTGTGAATGCAATATTTTTTCCCATTTCAAGGTGCTTATTGCTATTAGAACTTGTATATTCATCTTGTTTCCAAAAATCTTACTAAAATCCCCCTTTAATTCTGTTTTTCCTGAACTCTATGGTTTTCTAGATATATAATCATATCGACAAAAGGTTTTCTATTTTCCTATATTTTTACTATTTCATTTTTTTATCTTGTCAGTCGCTGGATCCTCCAAGATAATCTTTAATATTAAGTAATGACAGCCTGATTTTAATTGAAAAAGTTTAAGATTTTCAACACTTTTATACTTTTTATAACTAACCTTCATTGTGTTGTTTCCTTCAATTTATTTTACGCAAGAATCTTCATTACAAATGACTTTTGAATCTTAGCAATAGCTCTTTTAGCATCTATTGATATTTTCTTTTTTATTAATTTATGTAATTGTGTTGATAGATTTACTGAAATCAAAACTCTTGAATTCTTACAAGACAATCCTCTTTGCCATAGTATGTTAGCCTTGTTTCTTTTTTACAGTGCTGCATTTTTATTTAGTATTTTCATCCATATGTGTAAGATTGGTCTACGGTTTTTTTTTCTTCTTGTGTTTATCAGCGTTTGTTTGTTTTAACATTTTATTTATTTAACATTTTATTTTCCCCCTCCCCCCTCCGCCCTCCTCTGGTTAACCCCTAGCCCATTGTCCATGTCCATGAGTCTCTGTTTGTCCTTTTCATTTGTTGCTTTTAGGTTTATATCCCACATATGTGATATCATGTGATTTTCAACCTTTTCTATATGGCTTATTTCGCTTAGTGTGATTATTTCAAGATCTATCCATATTGTTGCAAATGGCACTATTTCATGTCTTCTTATGGCTGAGTAATATTCCATTGTACATATGTACCACAGCTTCTTTAGCCAATTGTCTATCATAGGACACTTTAGTTGCTTCCATGTCCTGGCCACTGTGAATAATGCTGCTATGAACATTGGTGTGCAAATATCTTTTTGAATATGAGTTTTCAAGTCTTTGAGGTAAATACCCAGTAGAGGGATTGCTGGATCCTATGGTAGATCAATTCTTAGTTTTTTGAGGAACCTCCATACTGTTTCCATAGTCTTGAGGTCCATCCATGTTGTCACTAATGGCAGTATTTCATCTCTTCTTATGGCTGAGTAATATTCCATCGTATATATGTACCACAGCCTCTTTAGCCAATCATCTATCATAGGACACTTCAGTTGCTTCCATGTCCTGGCCACTGTGAATAATGCTGCTATGAACATCGGTGTGCAAATATCTTTTCGGATATGAGTTTTCAAGTCTTTGGGGTAAATACCCAGTAGAGGGATTGCTGGATCATTATCATGTTTTTATACTAATTTATACTAGTCATATAAAATAAATTGGTGAGATTTTCCCTTTTTAACATTTCGGATAATTTAAATAACATTGGAATCTTTCTTGCAACCCTAGCACATTTTTATATTATGGATTTTAAAATATTGCTTTTCTATTATTTGATAATTGTTCTATTAGCATTTTAAATTTCACCTTGGATTACTTCCATTTATGTTTTCCTAGGAAATTATGCATTTCCTCTAGATTTTCTAGTATGTTGCTATACAGTTGCATGCAGCATTTTAAAGCGACCTTTTCTCTATCTTATTTTACTACTTGGCAGCATTCAATGTTGTTGAGAACTTTGTGCTTCCAAGTTTTGAGTTTCTTAAATTTGTTCAATGGGTGTTGTTAGTGTGATAATGCAGTGGACTGCGTGATGGATACTAATAGAAAATTCCAAGAAATATGAAATTTTAGTGAATTGTTTTTTGACATTTTTATTTTCTCACTAGCACAGGGTTCATCTCTGTAAACATGCAATTTATTACCCTTCCCCTTTTCTATATTATTTTGGAAAATTACAGTCTTATAATAGAGATCAGGAATTTGTTAACATTGTGATTGATATATTTGACAACAGTGTTCTATGAGAAAAGTCACGGATATACTTTTTGTAAATGAAGAATCAAGCATTTAAACCAAAGGAAAGTTAGTGATGTCATCTCTGACTGAAAGGCATAACTATGCCTCTTTGAACAGATTTCAGTGTCCTTCAATCTCATAAAATTGCATAATTGCCAATAATATGGACTATCTTTTTTTTATTAAAATAATGTGGCCCAGGGGTTGGGGACCCCTACCACATAGTACTTGATTTAAATTCATCATCAAACACCACCTATATAATTTGATTATATTAATGCGCTTAGAAACTGTGATGTGCAGGATCCTATATTAAAATGGTCTCAAGCTGCTATGCTTTTAATATTCACATCAATTTTTTTGTTCCCTCCCCTGCCTCTAGCAAGACCCTGTAGATACTTGTTTGTTCAGAAGTAGAAATCTGATAACCAAAGTTTTCACAATCAGGTTTGAAGTAAGAAGCAGCAGATTCTGAAGATGCAGATCTGAGGCACTCAACTCTGAATAAGGTACATGTGTATTCTTAACATCTCTCTTGGTCTTATCCAGATTGATGATGCTGCCACAACTGAATTATAAATGAATAAAGTGCAATTAGGTCTTTCTGGTAGATAACAAAATATCCACCATAATTTAAGAACTCTGTTGAACAGTAGTTTTGAGAGAGTAAAACTTTCTTTCCAGAGAAAGAGTCTAATGGCATGTTTCTAATGGAAGACTATATAAGGTAGAACTATACAGATCAGCAGCTGGCTTAATTAGCTTTGTATAAACTTATTAACAAATTAAGTTACAAAATACAAAGCAATTTAATGAATCATCATATGAGGCATTGAATTCAAAGCTGAATTGTAACATGCTTTTCATAATACAACTTGCTTAATTATCCATATGAATGAATCATTAATACCACAAGCCTGATCAAGAGTTTTGGGTACCAATTTATGTAATGGTGGCACTCATTTGCTTAGTAAGGCAATGAGTAGCTCCCTGGGTAAAATGCAGTCCTCAAAACAATTATGTGACACAGTAACAACAGGGATGTTTCTTGAAGGTTTTAGAAACCCAGGATATGTATTTCAAGAGCCATCTTCCATTGTATTAATTCAGATGCAGTTGGTTATTAGATGTCTGTTTTTTAAAGACATGGAATTCTGTGTATTTCCACGAGGAAGTGACAACAACTGATCATAATGCATAATGCTATTAAAACAACAGCTTCCTATCAGCCTAAGCTTCTGAAAAATTTACATAGGTGGGAAAAATATTTGGATACAACTCTTTAACATACTTAAACAATTGAAAATATGGAGGGAAAAATTTATTCTGAGAGTATACCTTTTTGCTTTTGACAAAATTTAAAGCTAATAATTTTATTTTAGACTCCACATTTTTAGGAAATTTTCCCTTCTGTGAAATCTAAGTATGGGAACCATTAGGATGTGTATAAACATGTCGTGAGTTGCAGTGAATGATTTTTTCTAAAAAAGCACATCATGACCACAGACCAGGCTATTCAAACTTTCAGTGAGGAAGATTTTTCCCAGCCTTGTGATCAACCGTGGAAAAGTAACTGGTTAATTGGACAGTGAAGCCCCTTAAGGATGTTGAAGAAAAGGTCTCAGGAAAAAATACTCAGAGCCAAAGTGAGAGCAATGTTATACTCGTCCCTCTTCTCATGGTTGAGAGGAAAGAGCAACCATTTCAGACATACGACTTGTAAAATTTCTCAAAATACCCACTACATTTCTAACTAACTTTAAAATTCTTGCTGTTGGTCATGAGAAAGTCAAGATCATACAACAGAACCTGTTGACATAACATGTAATAAATTAAAAATCCAGGTACCATGCTTAGTGCAGGGTCTGGTACATATATGTGGCCAATAACTATTAGCTTTAATTATGATTATAGTAATAATTACATGTGTCTGCCTCCTGTATCTTCTTCATATATAATGAAGGCATAGTGAACTAACTGGATTCTACTTTTAATAGACAGACAAAAAAGTTGCTTAACATAAAAACTGTAATATAAGATGAAAACTAAATAGACACTAGGCTAAAAAATTACAGGTTTTAAAGATCCTCAAGTAAGTTTATTTTGCAAACTTTTTGTATTTTGATTTACACTGTTATAAAGAGAAAAATGTTCATATGTCATTTTGACCATTGAATTATTTATTTTAGTATGAATTCAGATATACTTTATTTCTAATTGACCTTCAAACTGCTGCAGCTCATGAGTTTAGCTTTAAGTGTTCTTGCCATCCCACCCCACCCTGTCACTGAGTCAAATAGCTCAATAAACATATACACGACATCCATAAACAGACACAAACAAGCCTTTTGTAAAGTAAATGAAACTTTTATAAGGTAAATAAGTGTTCCTTGTTGGAACTCTTATATCCAGTTCACATCTTCTCTGAAACTGAGATACTTATAATTATTAGACAGCAACCTGTAGAAAAGCAAAGGGTTTATCTCTGAAAACTCAAGTAATTCTTGAGGACAATATTTTTCTTAATGATCTAAAAGGAACGAAATGTGGAAGGCCAAAAAATAAAAAAATCACTTCAAATGATCAAAACAGACGAGAACTGAAAAATAATATATTTACAAGTATAGGGAGAAATTTTAAAGTATAGATCCTATTTAAAATATTGATATTCAAAGAAACAGTTTTGGACCCATTGCCAAAAACTTATATTTTTCTCAATTAAAATCAGTTGGTTTTGTTGTAGATACATTAATTATTTGAAATCAGAAGGAAAGAATTGCACAATTTAATTTCTATATAAATGACTGAATATACGAAGTATCAAATATAAACAGTAGTGTAGCAAGAAAATTGGCAGAAATAATTATTCAACCAGTAATAATTAAGACCACCATTTGAAAGATCTATACACAAAGAATGAAAAAATAGTTATAAGCTTTTATAGCACACAACTAAATTCAATCCTAATTCATTACTATTATACTTCTTTCTTCTTCAGTATTAGTGGACCCACATTATCTCCTGTCAATTCATTGTGTTTATTATGTGAACCATCACAGGCAGGAAACTAGAAAAGAAAAAGAATTACAAGTGTTATTTTTTAAATGATTCAGTAAGTAGAAATATTTATGATATGCTCTTACAAAGCACATTACTTTGAAAAACAAATCATCAGATAGCTTTCCTGAGTAATAGATATATTCCACATCTAACCAAACTACATTCCAATACCACAGCAAATCTAACAATTTTAAATAGTTAATTCAATATTTAACATAGATTTTAAATTAAAAGGTTTGGATGGTAGCATGAGTCAATAAAATAGGTGTAAAAGGATCAAAATAAGCTCTTATGCTGTGTGAAGCTCTAAATTTGAGCTCACCTATTCACTTATTTAAATTTTAAAGAATGTAATTTAAATTAAAAATATATTATTTCATGTTTTCTTACAATAGAACTCATGCACACTATATTTTTGAAAAAAAATTAAAATATTTTTAAAAATTCCCTCAGATAACAATTAACATTTTAGTATATTTTTCTTCTGCATTTACTGTGTGTTCATTTTTAAACAAAATGGGGTCATACTGTAATATGCTTGTCTTACTTGTATTACATCTTGCTTTCATGTCATTAAATAGTCTTTAAAAATATAATTTGTAGTGGCTTCCTAATATCCCATCATTTGCATTACATCATACTTTAATCATTCTTCTATTATTAGATTCCAGATTGTTTCTAAAATTTTGCTATTACAATGGATGCTGTAATGAACATTATTGTACTTAAAATCTCAAATATCTATGATTGTAGTAGAAGAAAACAGATCTCATCAACTACTTATCATAGGCATCACTCCAAACTTTAATTTTCACATTAAAAATCATAATTATAGCTCATATTGTACATACATCATCTCACTAAATCCTTGAAAATGTCTGTATGTTGATATATTATCAAATTAAAAAAAAAAACCTTAAGATCAGAGATTAAAGAGTAATTGCCCAAAGTCATACTATAAGTGGCAGACATCAACTTTGAACACAATTTATTCAGACTCCAAAGCTTAAACTCTTTCTCACTAAACCTTATGTCCTCTCTCATAACAGAGGCATAATTTAAACTACGTTACTCTAGCTGACTGTTGAACACGGTGAAACATGAGATTTTTATCCTTCCTTGCTGCTCTAACTTTTCTCTTATAGGTAGTATTGATCATAAAATGTAAACTTTAATTTAGGAATATAGATATTTAGAACTGAATACTACTGAAAAATCTTTCATCTCACAGAACCTCGAAACTGAGGATTTAAGAAGGAAACCATTTTAACTGCACAGAATTTTAGAATACATGTAAATGGACATCTTACCGTCTTAGAACGCCAACACCTACAATAAGCTGCTTTAGTAAGACACAAATCTTCAATGTTTATTTCATTCACCACTTTGGGATTTTCCTTTTGTATTTTAAGGTTAATCAAGCTATCCTTCTGTTGTTTTTTCTTTGGGAGGAATGGACGAACTGCAAGGTAGCCAAGTAGTGCAAGCACACCAAGGAACGGCAATAATCGAAGCCATTCTGAAACTGAACATGTAGATTTGTTAGTCTGCAGTGGTCTTGTAATAGAACTCAAATAGCATGTCTCATCCTTGAGATTATTCTTTATCTATTCTTCTCATTTTAACTTCTTAACTATTCATCTGTAAAACCATGAATAAGTAACACAATCAAAACATTTGGTTTCATTTGTGGGCTAGCAAGACTCGTGAAATGGAAAACAAAATTTTCAGAAATAGGTCCTTTATCAAATATCCTCTCCTATTATCCTAAGTATATTTATGTTTATCTTCATTTTTATTTCAGGAATTATGATAACCATAATTATAAACAAAATTCAATGTGTGACATATTTTATAGATTTAGAAAATATTTCAATGTCTAAAATCATACAACAGAATATCTGTATATTTTACCATGGAATTATAATTTCAGACAGAACACAACCTCAGTGATTTAATTTACAACATTTGTAAAACATAGTCATTCCTAAAGAAACACCTAAATAATGTATAAAAGCTATTATTTTAAAGAATTGAAATTTTCATATACTAAATGTTCTCATTATTAGATCCATCTGATTCCATATGTGTTCATTAAATGCTTTCTTTAGTATTCATCGCTGTCTTGGGGGATAGGGAACATAACTGATATAAATGAAATGGTCCCTTTGCCTGCGGAGACAAACACACCAGGAAACCAAGGTAAACATTTCTGCATGTATTTATCAAATGCTAACTAGTGTCCTGCCTCGGCTGGGCTCTGCTGGGAATACTTTCTGTCCTTAAAGAGTGACCATTTGGCATTCTTCACTGAGGGCTTCCTTGATACCTTGCTAAGCACTATGTACAAATAGCTTAGTTGAGAAAAAGAAAACCTGAATATTAAATGGTAAGATATACTAATAAATGTTAATGATAATGAAAAGACTATGCTAAGAGTGCAACTGTATTATCTCATTTAACACTGTGTTAGCTTAAACAACTGTATTTATTATTTGCATTTTTCATGTGGGTAAACTGTAGCTTAATCAGGTATAGTCCAGGACAGTAAGTCCAAAGCTTATTCTCAATCACCATGGATCAAATCCAAGAGATTCAAAATTTTATATTCTTCTCTTAGTAACTGCTCTCCTGACATAATAGTTCTTACTGTTCAACTATTGAAAGATTGGCTTACTACCAACTCTTCCAAAATGAAACCCTTTGTGATACAACACCATACCAAAGGTGAGCTCTAGATGAAACAACCCATTTATATATATGTAGCACCTATAAAAGTGCCTGGCACAGAAAAAATATAAAATAAATGTTAGCATTTGATAAGAGATTATGGAGATTAGTAGCAACTCCTTTGAAAAAATATTTGAAATTCAACAATGCTAATATGATAGACATTGGTGGGATATAATCTTTCAGTCATCAGAATGAAGCTCTGTAAGGATAAGGATTTTACCTGTTATGGTGACTATTCTAGTCTCATAACCAAAGTGAAAACACTCCAAATAGATCCTCTGAATGAATTATGGTTCTGGAAATGATAACTATTTTAGGTGTGGGGGAGTATAGTTAGTTCTGTGCTACCCAATATAGTAGCCACTAGCCACACTGTTTTGATTGTACCCAGGTTTTAATCAAATAGAGTAAGATGACAGACGCAGAGACAACGGCCTTGAAAGAAAAGTGTATTACAGTTTCTAAGAGAAGGGGACACACCATGCCACGCAAGACCACGTGGGGAAATACCAGGGTTGATCAGGAGGAGGGTGAGAAGAAAATGTGAGCACAAGCCTGTTTTCCAGGAAATGGCAAGGTAAGGCAAGGTAGAGTTTAGAATTGGATAGCTTGAAAAATTTGTGTACTCCAGGCTACAGAGGTGGTCCCTAGTTGTTTCACACCTGGCCCGGGGTGATTTACGGCTAGGGAAATCCTGGTTGGTGAATGAGCTAGATAAGGTAGTTGAGGTATATAGGCTTAGGATTGGTTGATTTGCCTATAAACTTGCCTATAAAACTTGCTCTTTAGGCAAGTTTTTGATGATCTCAGGGAATTAGGTAGTCCAGCAAGGGACAGGTTCTCCGTGGCTAGCAAGGTCCCCCAAGATGTCAGTCATAAAATATAGAAAATAAAAAACATGATTAAAACACAAATGTGCATATTTAAATAAATTAAAATTAAATAAAACTCAAAAATCAGTTTCTAAGACACACTAGTCACATTTCAGCAACTCAGTAGCCACATGTGGCTTGTGGCTACTGGATACTACTGTATTTGACAGCACAAAGAACATTTCCATCATCACAGAGTTTTTTGGATGGTGCTGCTATAGACCATTGTTCCTATAAAGTACTAACTCTACAGCATGGTAGGACAACTTTAACAGCTTCAGTTCCCACAACACATTCCATTTCTTGTGTACATGAAGCCACCCGAAACTATTACCTAGTAGCAACTTTCCTGTGTTCCTTGCATAAGGAATTTCTTGTGTCTGCCACGCCTTTCTACTAATTTGTGTAAAACTTTCAAGACTAGGGTCAAATATTGCCTACTCCAGAAGTCTTTCCAGATTTCACAAAGCAAAATTAATTGCTTCCTCCTGTGCTTCCAAGCCCCTTTTTCTCATATTTCTCTTATCACACTGCTGTTATCTATTCATAAAGTTGAGTCTTCCATAAGCCTGTAAGAAAAGGAGCTGTGTACTACACTTTTGGAACAAAGTAGACACCTCAGAAATGTTTAATGAGTGACTTACTGAATGAATAATGTAAAGCATAAATGTGAGTCCCTTTCTCATCATATTGTAACTATTTATTTACATTTGTCTTCTAGATCAGGCAATTAATACTTGCTATTGGCCTCAATAGCCAATATAGTGTGTTGAAATATAATATCAATAAATGTTTGTTGAATATAGAATAACATTAAGTATTATACTGTATATTACAAAAAGTTACAAGAGGTTAAATAACTCAAAGTCAAAAAGTAAATGATTGAGAATATCAAGATGAAAACCTTAATTTAGATTCTTAAGTTTAGCATTTCCTATCTTAACCCACAAATCTCAGGAAACAAATGGTATTAATACTGTTTTAAAATCTACTTCCGAAAAAATTTTGACACAGTTCCTTGGTAAAACACTAATCTCTATATACAAAAAGTAATGAAAAGTACTATTACCTCCCATAACGAAGTAATAACTTACACAACAGTTTTAGAACAATCTGCTTTTGATGATAAACTTCCATCTAACTACAGAAAAGCTTTATAAAGAAAAATAATACAGCCCATAAAACTTAATTGGAAATCATTTATTTATTAAGGCTGATTTTTGGTAAAGAAATATAAAATACAGAAAAATCAAACAAGAAACTTAAAAAAAAATTTTTAAGACCAGCTATTTCCTATGCACCTGTTTGACTGACATGTTGAGCTATTACAGACATTTTAGATACTGTAAAGAAAAACTGTATACCTAATTGTTAGATATAATGTATTTTGTACAGTATATTTTATTTTTGTTGTTTGAAGATAATCAAAAATCAATCCCACCAGTCAAGAGTTGGTAACATTTTGTTGTATTTATGGTGCCCTTTTTTTTTGGGGGGGTGGAAGGGGCGGGAGGGGATATATATGCTTTAAATACTTAAAAAACAAAAAGCAAACTGAGACCATATTGTATATAGACTATATCCTACTTTTTTCACTTAATATTATATCAGAAACATTCTCAATTCCTTAATATTCTTTGGAAGCATGAATTTTAATGGCTGCACCCACTTATCATGTACCCCAATCACAACAGAAGATCTACAAGAGCAGGGACCTTATTTGTCTGGGTCACTACTGTATCTTCAGTACCTAAATAATGCTTGGCTCAATTCATTTTATTTTACATTGAGGCATAATTTATACCTCAGCTTGTTGAGCTTTGAGTTATGTTCAATTTGATGAATTTTGAAACTATATAGACCTGTAACCACCACCTAAAACAAAATATAGAGTATTTCCATCATTTTAGGAAGTTTGCTCTTGTACAATCCCCTTTCTGGGTTCTTTCATCAATTTAAGTGCTTAATAAATATTTCTGAATGAAGAAATAGAATCAATTTGCTATTGTTAAACAATCTGTTGTCAACTTTTTAACAATATAATTATTAAGTACCTACTATGAGGAGATACTGTCTTATTTGTCTCTATGTACCCAGTGCTTACTTAGTACAGTGCCTAGCACAGAGCAGGATTTCAGATAAATAACTAATTCAGTTTATCTGTTGTATAAATCCAGATTTTCATATAGAGTCAGGTTTCTTTGGCCTGTAAAATAGAAATAACAATAATTCATTCATTTGTTCAACAATACAAGTACCTACCACATTCCAAATATTGCACTAGGTGCTGGGAACAAGGCTGATAGTTAGATAAGGTCCCCGCTCTTATAGGACATACACTTTACAAGAAGAGATTACAAGACACAGTCCCTACCCAAAAGGAGCTTTCCACTAATATGGAATATAGATCTATAAAGGATTACAGTACTATGTAGTATGTGCAATCATAAATAAGTGATATAGAGGAAGAAGTGATTAACTCTTTAAAGGAATGAGCAAAGATTTTACAGGAAGGATTTGACACCTAAACAGGTTTCTGAAAGATGAATAAGAGTACAGGAGGAGTCCACAGGTGGATGGGAGGAGGAGCTACATTCCACACAGGAAATACAGTATAGGCAAAGGCACGGAGATATGACATAGATGAAAAGTTTAGAAAACTAAGTGGTATGGTATTGCTGGGATATAATGAAAGAAGAGAGTGACTAAAGAAGTGAGCAGGTACCAGATTATGAAAAGCTCTGATATAAAAGGGGACCACTGAAATGTCTGTTGGAAATCCACTAAAATAACCCAGAAAAAATAATGTGAGCTAAAACTATGGCCATTAAAGCAAAGAGAGGACAAATGGACCCCCGAACACCACCTGGAATAGTGTATGTTCCCGTGAGAGTGCACTTTCTGAGGAAACAGTCTATAGCTATCACTGGAATCTCAGAGTGGGTCTGTGATCAACCTTCACTTACTTTTAAACTTAAGAACCACTAACTCAGTCAAATTACTAGGATTTGGTGACTAAGTATGAAGCATGAGGTAAATGGTGGCAGTGGAGATCCTTCATGATTCCCATAATTCTGGTTTCATCATCTGGATGTATGGTGGTAATGGCCTCTAATTTAAAAACAAAATGAAATAAAACAAAACAAACAAACAAAACAGAATATAAGAAGGGCAGAATTAAACAGAAAAAGAAAGTGCAGTGCAGTATTATAGGAAAAAGAGGGAAATATGAGGTTTTAGCATTCTTAAAAAATGTAAGGGAGAGACTAAAGTTCAACAGGTAACAGCAAAAAGGGATACTGATGGATGGCAGAAGAGTTTTCTTTGAAAGATAGTGAAACAATTCCAGGGTGGAAGTAGCTCTGCGGAGCCTGAAAGATGCAAACTGCATCTGCTCCCTCATCCCATAAAGACAAGGGGGACAGGGGGAGGTGTAGGGGGAGGGGGAAAGACACCACTGAGAGAGCCACAGGGGAAGTGCTTTCCTTAGAGAGAGCTTTGTTTCACTTAGGACAAGAAGGTGCCTCAAGTAACAAGGGTTTTTGAAGATAAGCCACGATTTGAACTTAAAAATATGAATGAAGATCAGGGTTTGGAGAAAGAAAGAGATGCATTTTGACTGTAGTTAAGTCAAAGATGGAACTGGCTGACCTCAACGTTCAATCCATTAAAAAGGTGCCCAGTAAGGTAACATTTTATTTACTTGTTAGAATGTAAAAGGATTGAATTTCCTTAAAATTTTTCCCTTAGTTCAATATTTTCACTTCTGGATAGACCTTCTTCCTCTATCAGTGAAGTTTTCCTGTTTCCAATTTTTTTTATCACCTCTAATTAAAAAAAAAAAAAAAATCAGACCACACTAATACAGAGCAGGGTTCTAATATTCATTTTATAATATTTTATTTCCCACTATTAAGATAAACAATAAGACTAAGACGACAGAGTGAAAGAACTGGTGCCATCAGAAAAACAAAATCTAAACAGAAAAGAACGTTTCAAAACAACTTGAGTAGCAAGCAATTTTAACACCAATTTTCTGAAAGCAGACACTGTTAAAAGAATTTTCTTAGAAGAAATAGAATTAAGAGGGGGCTGATTCAACCTTTTACATAGATAGGCCATCTATCACACCATTGCTGATCAAGATATATAAACAAATACAATGATAAAAACATTTTTGAAAGTGCATATTAACACACTTGGATCTCAATGAGAAATTATTTTCTAAGGAACTAGGACAGATTTTTTTCTTTTTCAAAAGGTTGTATATAATACCATAAAAATAATATTGGTAATTGGTTGTTGATCATTTTATAACATTTTCTTAGGTGTCATTTATAGGCAAGACACAATTTATTTTTCTGATCTGTAGAAAGATGAAAGTAAAATAATTTCAATGGACGGCTTTACGATTATCACTTCAAACCTAATACAGACTATTCAAGACCAAAGGACCAATAAAATGAAATTAATGATTAATTTTTAAATCTTTTTTCCATTCACTATTATGAACAGAACAGTGTCACAGTATCTAGAACATTGCCTGGCCCATAGTAAGGGCTCAATAAATACTTGATGACTTGAGCAATTTTAAACTGCCAAGTAGTTATATGGAAGAAAATGTTTTAATGAGATCAAAACTGTTCTCTACAAAGGCTAGTATAATCTTTAAATATTTGACTTTTACATATAGTTGGTCTAAATAGGAAGAGAGGAAAACTTTTACAACTTATAGTAACTATGTAAATATTTTCCCAACTTCTCAAAAAAAGTTTTATAAAATTCTTCCATCTTCCAGAAATAATCTTTATTATTTACATGTTAATAAATGTAATTCTGTAGTCTGAACTTAATGATTTATTTTACTTTCCTATTGAGAAAACTCACCTTTGGTTCCATTTCTTTACAAATAAATAAGGTACAATTTAAATACAATATGATAAACAGATCTTAGGTGTTTAGCTCTGGGTTGTGACAGTTAAATACAACCCTGTAGCCTCCACTGAAAATGTGTAAAAATATGTAAAATATTTCTACCACCCCAGAAAGTATTCTCTTGACCCTTTCTAGTCTATCCCCCACCACTAATTCCTCTCCCAAAGCTTTTTTCATTCAACATAAAGTTTTTGAGATTCATCTAGTGGATCAGTAATTCATCCCTTTTTATTGCTAACTAGTATTCCACTCTATAAATATACTGTAATTTGTTTATCCATTTTCCTGTTGGTATAATCGGGTTCCTTTCGGCTTGGGCTATTGTAAATAAGTGTGCTATGAACAAGCTTGTACATCTTTTTGTGAATATATTTTCAACTCTGTTCCACTTCTAAATTCTCTGTTCAAAATTGGCCCTTTCTGGATAAATAGAGCTAATGCCCTTAAAGCTGTCAACTCTGGCATATCTGTGTTTCTCTGGGGAAAATATTGTTTGTCTTTAGAAGGAAAATCATTACATTTCAAAGACGCAAACTAGTTCAAGTGGAGAACTACTACTATATTCAGAGTTTCACAGCTAGCTTTTAAATCTAGAAGTAATGAAATTCTGACTTTAGGAAGATTTTTTTGTTGTTCTATTTTAAAAGTTCATATGACAAGGAGAGCTTTTTGAAAGGTCAAAGTATTAGAATACACTACACTCCCAAAGGGCAGAATGGTACTAACTTATCTCAAAAGCCTCACTCTTAAAAATGTTACCTAAACCAAAACAGATAAGTTCTTTCTAACAGATAAATATTGTACTATCTATAAATATTCTACAGTAATTAAGGATCTCTGAGTGTTTACTAAGAATGCAGAGTCATCATGAGAATCAACTGCTTTAAAAAAAATTTGCTGGCTCTAAATAGGGAAGGAAAAACTGGCAATAACAATGTGAACTATAACTTTTTTAGCTCTCATTGTCATGATAGAAAATGAAAATATCTTTGGTCTCCTAGACTTTTTAAACAATTGCTACAAAGTTATCTTCCAGGTTTTTCTTTCAACAAAGTCTAAGTATGGTTTCTTAAGTAGATCGTTCAAGAGAGCCAAATGTCATTAGCTATTACAATCTATCTTGAAGGAGAGACTCAAGAGTGGAAATTGGTTGTTTTTCTTCTATAGTGCTTCAAAATAGATTCTTCAACTGCTACATTATCATTGTCCAGTGTGAAACAGATTATCTTTTTTTCATAAAGCAGTTATTATAAACATGTTAATGTTTCCTAAACAAATAAACAATACAATGAGAACTAAATTGTAGATGTATTTTAATGACACTTAAGTTAAATATGTGCTATTAAGATATGTACCAGAGTTGTCATTATTTCTGAGAATCAGTCCTCACATTAAAAATTTAACAGCTTTGTTTATGGCCATGCCACCCTGAACACGCCTGATCTCGTCTGATCTCGGAAGCTAAGCAGGGTCAAGACTGGTTAGTACTTGGATGAGAGACCACCTAGGAAGACCAGGGGCTGTAGGCGTTAAAAGAAAAAAAAAATTAACAGCTTTAAGGAGGAAGTTAATACATACTATTGATTTAAGGGGGGAACGGTTTGGGTTGTTTCTTTAATGTCTTTAATAGGAATTAAATATTTGTTGACAGTAGAGATCATCAAGAAAAAAAAAACACTTTAAATCTTCTAGCCACTAAATCACATATCATACTTTCTAATCTGCTTCAACTACATTTTATTTACCGAAAATTGAAACTAATAAAACATTAGATTGGGTGGGAGTAAGGGGACATTTCTTTTTCCTGACTGTTAAAAATTCAGCAGTTACTTTATGTAAATTATTAAAAAGGTAAACTGGCAAATGGGAACAAATGCCAGAAAATGATATTCTTTGAACCTGGTATTATCGTTTTAGTGAATACATCTAAGGGTATAATTTAAAAGAGAAAAAAAATAACAATTGATATTGGTATAGGGCTACTTACCACTGAACATTATGAACAAAAAACACATTTATATAAACATTCCAAATTTCCAGCTGCAGGGGAATGTGTAGGCCTATTGTGATGTTAATCTAAAGATTATATAGTTGTTAGAACAAGATGAGGAATACCTTGAAATATGTAAAGTACTTAAATAAAAAATAGTAAAGAGGAAAAGTTGATTTTTACATAATTGCTGCAATTCTATTAGAATAAACTGATAGTATCGAAAGGCTTTGATGTTTATAAACACTTGATTTGAAACAGTATTTTCATTTTGTTACTTTTATGTGGCTTCAATGTTTAGATGTTTCTTTTTAATATCTATTCTTCAGTTACCACACTTTCTATTCAGTTACATTCTATCAAACTCTTTAGCGTCTAAAATGTTAAAATTTCGCAATCCATTTGTCAACAGAGCAACTATCTCCGTCCATAATTCAAAGACTCTCTAGAGTTGGAACAGTCACCTACTTTCCCCATGTAAATCTATCTCCTCCAGATTTATTTTTTTAATCACTGAGAAGAGCTATCTCCCAAGGTACCCTATCTGTTTTAAAGTTTTCTTTAATTAAAAAAAGAAAAAAAAAAAAACCTTTCCTAAAACCTCTTTATACTGAAGGTGAACTCCATCTCCAAATAACTTTCACTAATTTAGTCCTAGTTGTCTTTTGGACTACACAAAATAAATCTTCCAATCGGCCTTCCAAATGCTGTATTTTAAATCAGCTACCATAGATCTCTAGACTGCTCCAAGCTAAGCAACCTATTTATCTCAAAATTATCTTGTCATGATTATGTTCTCTGATACTCAGGACATATGAGTTCAGTGTTTGCTGAATCAATATGGCTTTTTCCCCCTCACTATCCTAATCAATCTGAGTCTGGTTTACACATACCTCACGTGCACTGTAATGCTCAGAACTTGAAAAAAATCTTCCAAGTATTGACTGCATTCAGGAAAATTTCATCCTTGAGATATGAAATCCTAAAATGTGGGCTCTTTCTTTGTAAAGGGGGAAACTTAAATACAGAATGTTACATATATTTATTAAATATAATTTTCTAAGATTTGGCTCATCATTAAAGTCTTGAAACACTTTATGGCTAATGTACCTTTCCTCCAATCCAAGTTAGCTCAACAGCCTCCACGTCCATAGTAATGGAGGTGACCTCAAATGCCCCCATGATAGGGCATGTCTCCCCTATGGGAATGGAGATTACTTTCTAATTTTGTTACTAAGTAAAACTACTATACACACACATATATGTATACACACACATATACACATACACATGTACATATACACATACATATACATACACGCATATATATGCTCACATGCACACACACATACATAACGTATTTCTGTGTTTCCCACACACTCACACCCACACACCACATCAAGCTGGAACTGCCTGATAGCGCCTTGGATAATGACTTATCCTGCTTTTAAATAAACAAGCACACTGCAGTGAGCGATGACGATAAATAAGACGAGCCTGTCTTAACTCAGTACCTTCTCTGGAAAAAACCTGGTCTCTCACCACGGAAGGACACCAGAGATTTCCATGAGGACAAGCACCCGGGGCCACCCAACAAGGAGAGGCGACAACACCGGCGCTCTCAGGCCGCTGCGCCGGCGCGCTCCCACCTCCCTGCGCACGCAGGGTCACGGGGTCACGCGCCACCCGCCAGGCTCCGCTCCGCTCCGCCCCGCCCCTTGGCCCAAAGACTTAGACCCCCACCCCGCCCCCGCCTTGGGAAGCATGTGAGGATGGGAACTGGCCGAAGGTGGGGATTACCTGTGAGCCGGGCAAACCCGGTAATGCTCTCAGGGACTGGGAGCCGCTTAAGATACGCTGGGAGCTGCACCTTCACGATGCGGGCCACGCTCTCCAGCACCATCCTGGCCCGCGGCGTCCGCTCGTCTTCCGAGCCCGCGGCGCTCTCCGGCCGTTCTGCCGCGCCTGCGCTGAGAGCGGAGGCGGCCGGCGGGAGCTCGGAGTCTGGGTCCGCGCGGCGGGCGGGGCTGCGGGGCCGGGGGGGAGGGGGCCTGCTCG